AAAAAAAAAAAAACAATAAATTATGAATAAAATAAAGTCGAAAAACCAATTTTTAGTGTTTAGCCCGCTACCCACAATCGAAACGAATCAAATAAACTTTGAATGGTAAAAATAGATCATGAGAATGATTAGATACTAATAACTTAATGCGTTGCATAAGTACTTATAATAATTCATCATGTAAAAAACTGAATAACATAAATAAAAGTTTCCCATTCTTTACCATCTACAAACAGTTATTTAGACGAAAAATTAATTATTATTTAAATAAAGTCGAAAAACCAGTTTTCAATAATTTGAAATCAAATGAAAAAAAAAAAAAACATTCGATCGGTGCAAAGCTTAACGTATAGTCACCATTTTCGCTCAATTTCCACCCCCAGTATAACGGTTGCAAATCAGTTGGAATTGGCTTATGCGCATTCGCTATGAATGCAGATCGTCGAATATGCTGATACAGTACACAGTACATAAATTCATAACATTACGTTTAAATGCCTCGTGATAATTTATGAGACCATAGCTCTGAATAAATATTTGAAAACGAGCATGGTCAACCTGTAACATGGTTAAAAATATGAAAAACTTAACATTTTAAAATATAAGTAAAGTAGTATTACATAAGTAATATTTGACATACCTTTGAAACATTTCTCAAACGATTTTTTTGCGTTGCATTCATAGAACAGACTCATTCTTCAATTGCATCCACAGCAGACTCTACATTATTAGAATTCGCTAGATTTGCAAAAGCTTTTTGATATTTTTTATTAGATTCTAAAATATGGAACGGCTTGTTTTTTCCTTTCTTGTAAAATGCTGGATGGTAGTCGTAACCGCCCAATGCGTGAAAAGCTGGTAGATCAGCACATACATTTTCTCCAATGAGACGCTCAACCATGACATATTAATCAAACGAGAGTTATTGCCTGTTCCAAAGTGTAACCATACATTGGTTCCACTGGAGAAGTTATCCATATTAGCCAGTGTGATAATCAAAATATCGGTATCGGCACATCTAATTACGACGTTTTTTGGTTCCTGTAAATTGCTAATAATAGCAGCAAACTTTGTATCGGCTTCTTCGTGGCCCTCGCAAGATAATTCGCACAAGTTGCTATACGACTAACTGTCCGGTTGTTGGTGGTGTACTTGTAGCACTGATCTTCCAATATGTAGAAACACCGTCCTTGGATATGTCGAGCGATTTCATTGGAACACCAATGCTCAATCAAAAATTGCACTAGAGCCTTTTTAAATTTAATATTTCTCAATTCAGAAGCAATATCAAGAGGACGATTTTGGTATTAATTATGTTGAAATTGCTGTAGCATGGACGAGTGTGATAGCCTATTGATGAATCCACATCGTCTGGCAATGAAATTTGGCTATAAGACCAACCCGATACTTGACGTTTCTTCAGTGACAATGAACATTTTTCGAGAGCTTCAACGCTGAACTTTTTTAGATTTTCTGTTTTTGTACATAAAAAGCATCGTAACTCCGAAACTTCTTGATTAGACGACATCATGCCAACTACTCGAAATTCTAGGAAAAGAACGGAGGAAAAGGAATGGTTATGGGTGTTTTTACATGGAATCGATATCGACGCCTCAGACGAAAACCAGCCCAGTTCAGATTTTTTGATGTTATTTTAAATGGAAAAATCTAAACTGGACTAGTCTTCGTATATTTGGGCATCAGTCGTAGAACTGACCAATCATCGCTATGTATGGTTTTGTTGGATTTTTGAGAAACACGCGCCGAATTTCAAAAGGAAACATTAAGTGTTATGCACCATATATGTAAAAATAAACTACTAATAATAATTAAACAACTTAAAAAATTGACTCGTTAAGAAGTATAAGTTGATCATTTTTTGTTAACTTTCTATAAAATAACTAATTTTTACTTAAAAAGTGTAGTTATAAAGAAGTAATTATTAAAGGTTACTTAAATGAGTGGAGCCATGTATTTAAAGGAAATATACAATCACTAAACGTTTGTATTTATTCTACAAAATACATCAAATGAATAACTTTTTTGCAAAAAAATTATGCGAAGGAGTTAGCAGCGTATTTTTTCATGCAAAATCCTAATTGTATTACTGCAAACAGTATGCAATATAGATATTCATTATCAACATTGCCGATATTATCGATACTGCGATTTGCATACTGAAAAAAGTTGATCAAAAATTTTTTTTTTCACATTTTTAAAATCGAACTAAAAAATTAGCACACATGCAAACAGTATGCAATTTAGGTGTTTATCATTAACATTGTCGACATGATCAATACTGAGATTTGCATACTGAAAAAAGTTGGTCAAAATATATCTTTTTTTTGTACAGTTTGAAAATAATTTTTATGTATAATATATACTTTTGATCAGTATGCAAAATTTTTTAAGCAAGTTTCAAACTATATCTGTTATATACAAACCAGTTTTTGTCTGAAAAACATTAATCAATTTATCGTGAAATCTTAACAATTTGAAAATTAAGCCGAAAAAATAAGTACACCTGCAAACAGTATGCAATACGGATATTCTTTATCAGCTTTTTAAACAAAATAGATACTGTAATTTGCACACTGAAAAAAATTCATTAAAAATGGCTGATTTTTAAGCAATTTCAAACGAATAGGTACAAAACTTTTACCCACGCAATCAGTATGCAAATGAGTTTCATATAGATTTTTTTTATTTGCGTCTTTTTAAACTAGTTTGCATACTGAAAAAAGTTGGACCGAACAGCTGTTTTTTTAAAAACATTTTTAAATAAAAAATTGGATGGGTTGTATCCAGTTGTAAATCGTTTTTTTAACGTAATATTTTTCATAAATAATCAACTCACTGATTTGCATAATGTAAAAATTGGGTCTAAAAAAATCTGTCATGTCCTTCCGGTCTATTAGCCCACATAGCTATCATCGATTACACTGGAAAAAAAGTGGACAGGCCGTGCCACCAAAGGTAGCTATAGCGGCTCCCCTATACTACTGGTGGCCCCGCGTGACTACTGTAGGTGTGTAACGCGCCCACAACGCCTGGCGTGCTGGCTTCCGACAATGTTGATTGGCGGTAGCACAAGATAGTGGTATGCCTGCATGTGCATGCCGAATTATTTGTGTTGCAGCAGCAGTACGCCCCGCAGTCTAATCTACATAATATGAGAGTGCAGTAAAGTTAAGCATATTAATAAGTTCGTACCTGTACGTAAATTATTGAGTATCAAATGTTGTTGAATAAAGTGAATGAGTTTTCAACCGTGTAGTACCAATCTGCAGTGAGTGTACTCAAAATAGCTAGGTATACCTATATGTGCATGCAGTATCGTGACTGAAAGTCCCGCAGCCTTTCTCTGCTACTTTAGTGTTTTATAGTGCAATATTTTTTTATAGCTAACAAACTACTGCTAGCTATTACAACTGTAATAACATAGCTTAGTAGAGGCGATTCAATGATGGATGCATTTTTACATAAGTACAATCATCCAGAAATACAGTCATTCTTGGCATGTAAGTATATAACTAACCTCAAATTGCATTTTTTTTCATTTATGTGTATTCCATACTACTGTGAGTGTTGTATTGGCTGGTTTGTATAGGTAATAATGTATCAGACGAACATTTTTAGGCTGTAGATAATTGTCAGTGGATTAACTTGTTGAATGAGAAGTTTGATATTCAAGTCATTTTAGAATTTATTTGTAATTATAACTTTGAAAAAGGAATGATAGTAGGTGACGGTATGTTCGTCGATGTTACTGCTGATTGTGAAATTCATGAGAATATTTATGAAAACATGCGTGATATAAATGAAGAAGTGGTGTCAAGTTTTGAAAGCAATGTCGATAAGATGGATGTAGAAAATTCTGTATTTGAACTTACACCTAACAATTCTCACCAACTATCAGTTTCATTATTCTCTGTTAATAATACACCAACATCAATAAATCCACCCAACGATCATGATCATTCCTACCAACAGTTAACAGCTCCAACTTGTGATGCGGCTTCCCCGAATCATTTTAATATTACTCTTCCTTCACCCAACGAGAATAGTAAGTTTACGGTGTAAATCAATCTATCAATTATTATCAGTATCTGTATTTAATGTGTATATATATATATATATATATATATATATATATATATATATATATATATATATATATATATATATATATATATATATATATATATATATATATATATATATATATATATATATATATATATATATATATATATATATATATATATATATATATATATATATATATATATATATATATATATATATATATATATATATATATATATATATATATATATATATATATATATATATATATATATATATATATATATATATATATATATATATATATATATATATATATATATATATATATATATATATATATATATATATATATATATATATATATATATATATATATATATATATATATATATATATATATATATATATATATATATATATATATATATATATATATATATATATATATATATATATATATATATATATATATATATATATATATATATATATATATATATATATATATATATATATATATATATATATATATATATATATATATATATATATATATATATATATATATATATATATATATATATATATATATATATATATATATATATATATATATATATATATATATATATATATATATATATATATATATATATATATATATATATATATATATATATATATATATATATATATATATATATATATATATATATATATATATATATATATATATATATATATATATATATATATATATATATATATATATATATATATATATATATATATATATATATATATATATATATATATATATATATATATATATATATATATATATATATATATATATATATATATATATATATATATATATATATATATATATATATATATATATATATATATATATATATATATATATATATATATATATATATATATATATATATATATATATATATATATATATATATATATATATATATATATATATATATATATATATATATATATATATATATATATATATATATATATATAATTTTATTTTTTAGTTCAAGTGAGCATCACGTTTGAATAAAATCACACTTGTATAAATTACATAATTATTTTCTTAAGCTCCTGTTACATTTATATCGAATAATTTGAATGCATATCTGAGTGCACCAGATAATTTTATCGGCTTTGCTTTATTAGAAAGGTATTAGCGCACTAAAAAAGTTGATGAAGCCCGTCTGAAGGATCAGTGTATTATTTTCAAATTTGACGAGAAAAAGTCTTATAAGTAAGAAAACTTTACACAAATTATACTAAATGTATTTAAAGGTTGGATCAAAGTTATCGATACCTAAATTTATAATTCAAAATTTATTCTTTTGAAAAACAAAAAAATCATTTACAAACTATTGTGCTAAATGAATGCTATGTGTGCGCTTACACTTATAGCCTGTAAATTGTACGTCAGCTATCATTTATGCATAATTAATTTCAATTATCTTTCGGTTACAATTGATTGTTAGCACTTAAAATTCTATTAAACTTCTTTTGTAGAAATCAACAACCGCTTAAAGGAGTAGGAAATGACGGAATTGTTATATGTTATTGCTCATGTCACCTGTATAATGTGCATTTTTAGTCATTGTTAAGTTGTATATTTTTTTCATTGTTATTTAGATTAGAGGCCAATGATTTTATGAATCTGGGAGACCAAGTTTTTGATCTATTTCCTGAAGGCAAAAGTAAAAACTTTTTTTACGAGCCGTACTACGTTAATGATCGACAACAAGCAGTTGGTGCGAGAGGTTTGCTCTATTCTGGTTATAAATATTAGCGCAAATACTTATTTGAAGCAGGCTTACTCATTCTTGATGAGGATGATTCTGCACTAATAAGAACGGGTAATAATATTTCTTAAAAATTACTTCATTACCTTTGATTTATGCATCTTTTTGTTATATTTTTGTATGTTTATTCATTGTTCTGTTCATAGATGGCCAAGTTAAATCAATCGATTACTTGTCTGATGCAAATAGAGGTTTAAAAAATCCGAGTCAATTACTTGACCAATCGAAAAACAAGTTTGTTCAGCTTGGAAATCTTATACTCAGTAAAAAAACGTAATACACGCGTTAGAAACTTATTTCCTAAGTTTTCCCTGTCTGACCCCACCACTTGGCACTACGTTGGTACAAAAGTTGTTCTTACCGTTGTTGTGACAATTTTTAAAATTCATAATTAAATAAAAAAATATTTTTTAATTACATTTCAGCTCCAACTCGATTTTGACGCACACACTGCATTATTGTTGCAAAGTAATGTAATTAATGCAAATGATGCTAAGCTGTACCTATCGTTATTAAGTTCGACGTGGCCACATATATCATCAAAATTATTAAAAGCTTTTGGAAAATCGAGAATAGCAGAAGTACAGGTGTTTTTTAAGAACCAAAAGGATTTGATCGTAGCGGGTACGTTAATTTACTTGCTTTATGTAAAGTAATATTCTACTTGTGTCATTATTTATCAAAATTTTAAGAACAATTGTACTTTTATACAGGTAAACATGATAATGTCTTAGCCTTCTTACTTTTACCGCTATGTATGACTGTGACCAAAAAATGTAATAACGAAACTATTCCAAAAAGCCAACTCAGTAAAACATTCATTCTTCATGTCGAGGTAAGATAAAACCGACAATGTAGTAGTCATTATAAATAATTGCAAACATGAAAGCAACTTACTAGTTTCGTGACTGATGGCGCCTGTCTACCAGGGCTAGTGCCGGCCCTGAGGAAGCTTTTAAATTTTCCGGTTTCTCGACTTTTTTTTACATTTGCACGTTAGCTGCGTCTACGATAAAAAAAGTAGGGATCGTACCTAATGTGCATCGGACTAGGGCAAGCACAAAGAGTCCCTTGAGGCCGATGTTTACCCTCGTAGACATGCGCTACCACTCTCGAGACTACTATTCGGATGGGTTACAAAAAATATATATTATTTTTAGGACACAAAAAATGCGGATGCAAGCCGAAAAGATTTAGAAGATTATTTGAGAAAATACAAATATCCTATTTTACCTTACACTGTGATTTGCGGAGCCTTAGATAATATCACAGAGGCATATGTGGTCATTTATGGAGAAAAATATGTTCAAAAAACTGTAGTCGAGGCTGTAGAAGTTATACTTATAAGTCATTAACAGCCTTACGCGTTTGGCCCTCTTTATGCGACTACGTTTATTCTTTTATCCAGGTAGGGGTATACAAAATAGAAAAGCCATTGAAAAGTTTCTCTGCTGTTCAAAATATACTACCTATCATTAATCAGAGATTATATTTATTGAATTTAGCCAACGAATCAAAAGACAGTTTCATTGTGATTTGCTTTGTATTAGTCTACCCTACGTTTTCAAGAAAAAACTGTAAGGTGATTGTAGCTTACTATTAAATAAGCGGCTCAGATCAAAATGAGTAATATACTCTTATTACAGTGCATTGTTAATTTTATTCTAGATCTATACGGTGATCCTACGTATCTGCGAAAGCTAGTACAAACAGTGATTGAGCATGTTGCCAATTTCACAAAAAAAGCATTTTTACCATCGATTCAGGTAGAGATTATCGACATAAAAAAAAAAAACAATGTGCCAAATACTGTTATTGACAAAATTTTAGCAAGCCTAAATTCTTACGAAAGTGTTTTGATCAAGTGGATACTGAATCAAAAAGAATCCAAATTTTAAAAAGTAATGGCTTGTTTGAATTTGAACTGTTTGAGATCGGAAAAACTTTTTTAAAAAAATGCGCTTAAAACTCTGTAAAATATATATCTAAAAGCTTAGAAGTAGTACATGTTTTACTTCGGGATTCCCTTAAATTTTTTTTACAAATACCAAATCTAATGAATAAAATAGAAAATTATATCAATGAATTAAAACTGGAAACTTTCGTGATCTCAAACATTATGCAAGGAAAATTATGGCTTACAAAATATGCTAATAAATTTCAAAATGACATTGTCTTACCACTGTACGTATATTATAATGACCTAGAGGTAGGAAACCCCCTAGGATCCCACGCTGGCACCAATAAATTTGGCGTCATTTATGCTCTAATAGCATGCCTCCCACCGCACATTGCATCTCGTTTCAATAGCATTTTATTTGCAGGTTTAGTTTCCGTTGAAAATAAAGAAAAATGCAATAATGCTTTGGTGTTTAAAAAGATTATTGAAGAACTTAATTTTTTGAAACTTGAAGGTATAGAGATTGATGTTGATGGTCCCAAAAAAAAGTTAAATTTCAATTAATTTCACTCTTAGGTAATAATCTCGGCCTTAATAGCATACTTGGCTTTACAGAATCCTTTACTGCTGAATCATTTTGCTGTATTTGCAAAGCTACATCGGCAGAAACTGCATTATTAACGAATGAAGATAAAACAAAACTGAGAAATCATACAAATCATGAAAAAGATCTGGCAGAAAACAATGCATCTAGTACTAGGGTAAAAAAGACGTGCACTTTCCATGATGTGATGGACTATAATATTTTTGAAAATATTAGCGTCGACATGATGAATGACTTTTATGCGGATTTTTGTAAATATGTCCTTCGAGAAATTTTTAATAAGCATATATATAAAGAGAAACTATATTCGTTAGATACGTTAGACAGTAAAATTCAAACGTTTGATTTCGGAAAAAAGACAAACAAGCCCTCACTCATTGCTCTTAACAGGTTAAAAGGTAAATTAAATTTAAAAATTTTGGCTGCAGAAATGCTAAACCTTATTCATTTTTTAGGGCTGATTATAGGAGACACGATACCTGAAAATAACGAATATTGGAAGATGTTCAAAGTACTCAGAAAAACAAATGACATATATCCATCACCCCACATTGTTTCATCCGATATTTCAGATTAACGAGAGTTCATCAGACAGTTAAACGATAAATACATAAAGCTTATTGGTCCACTTAAACCCAAGTTCCATTTTTTTACCCACTACCCATGTATTTTGGAAAAAAATGGTCCGTGTATCCATTAATGGACAATGAGGCTTGAGTCTTATAACCGTTGAATCAAAGCTAATGCTTGTTCCACAAGTGGAAGTAGGAATTTATTAGTAACTATTGCGAAAAAGCAAGTCTTGCAAATGGGCCAAATTTTCAACACTGCTCAATATAACAAAATACTTACTTTAAGTCCTGTTGACAAGTCTGCATTTAATATACCAGTTTGTACTGAAATCGATAATAGAGTAAACAAATCAATAGCTTACAGCAGCATTAATATTCATGGCATACAATATGAAAAAGGCACTGTTATTCTAACAAATATGGAAAATTCTAAAAAGGAATTTGGTGCCATTCTTGAAATTCTTCGATTACATAACATTATTTACTTTTTTGTAGAAACTTTTAAAGAAATAACGATCTGTTAACATTTACATGCATGTATGGTTCATAAAAATAATAAATATCGGTTAATTGAACACTCTCAGATACCTTACCTAGCGCCTTGTACATTACGCACTACACTAAATGGAAATTTATTTATTGTTGCTCCAAATTATTTGTTAGTCATTAGTTTTAATATAAAATTTACATAAAATATATTTCGATTTTTATTTAACCTCACCACTAATTATAGTTTACCAAAGTTAATTTATGAATTTTGCTGAAGTACTCATATAACACTGTATGTTTCTCACACCATCAAGTTTCAACATTTATGTAAAACCGTATATGTCAGGTTATTCAATAAAACAAAAGTCAAGTACTATTGGAAAATTGGTCTGCGTTCTTAAATAAACGTCAAAGTTTAACCATGAACTCATTGAAGAATTTAGTACAAAATTTGAATAAAACTTTTTAGTTTAAGCCAGTAACTTATCATGTTTTTATCTTTTATTAATCTACTACCTGATAGTACAAGGTCTTATTTATTAAAGGTATTAAGCTATATATAAGATTTTTGTCAGAAAATTAATAATATTTTTGAGGATCTGAAAATGATTAGTAAGCCATAAAATCATGGTCACTTTAGGCGGAAAAATTCAACTAAAGCATTGAATCCACTTTTTACTGTTGTCAGCAATATACTGTATAACATTTTTTTTATCATTTTATTTATATATTTTATTACTAACTTTAAAAATATATTAACTGACTTTCATTGTATGCATATCACAAAATTTATTGTGAACAAATGACTGCATATTTCATATGCTGATAGTTGCAAGCTATCAAATACTAATATATGAGTAATAAAAATGCAAAGTACTTTGAGTGCTGTCTTTAGTGCACTACATAAATGCAAAACTTAACATGCTATGATTCGTATATTTTTTCGCTAAGCCTAAATATATTTAAACTCACTTTTTATTTGCTTCTAAATTAGCAAATTAAGCGTATAAGTGTGAAGTTATTTAATGAATTTTGGCTTAGTTCTTGGGGCAAGCTTCCGAATAAAGAACACAACATGTTCTTTGTTTTATAACGTTTTGTTTATAGACGTATTAGGCTCTTTACTAACTTTAAGCATTACTTACAATTTTTTGAATAAATTAATAGAAAAACCAATAATTAAAAAAAAAATTCCAGTTGGCATATTACTTCAAATAAAACGAATGTATTCAAAGCAGAGATTTAATTACTCGCAAGCCGAACAGTGCTCGTATGACTCATATACGTATTACAAT